TGCGTGCGTGGGTGGGTGGGTGGGTGGGTTGGAGGGTGTGTCTGTGTGTGCGTCTGTGTCTGTGGCGCGCGCTGCTATTTTTTCGGGGACCTCCCAAAAACGGTTGGCTTTCTTTTGGTTTACCTTTAAACCCAACCAACATGGGTACCCTCGAAAACGATTTACGCTCCAATTTGCTTCGGCATCCAACCCTGGCCCCTTTGAAGGGGGAACCAACAGGAGGTCGTTTCAACAGTGTGGCCCGACCCCGGCCTCGGGGCCCTTGTGTCCCTGGTGCGGCCAAGAGAAATCGCACACGGTGATAGGAGCAGAGAGCGTATTATCGAAGCCACAGCCGACCATGCTGTGATTCTGCCAAAGCAGAATCACCATGTGCCCACTGTTGTAAGAGCCTCCTGCGTTCTGCACAGCCGGGATGCTAAAGTTGTGAACGCCTATCTCCTGGTACCAAGCATTCACCCCTCGGGTGCATGAGGAGGTCCCCCATGTCAGCACTTCAGTGTACTCAGGGAAGAAGCCGCCTCCCCAGCCAGAATGGATCGAAGCCTTGTCTGGCTTCTCAGCCCAGGCCTGGGCACTTTGAGCAATTCCCTGGTGGTAGATCACCGGTGGAGCGTCGTGCAGGCACCGGAAGAAGTTGATGTTCGCCATGCAGCACTCAGCACCAGTGAGCCCCCAGCACGAGGGAGCCTCCAAGATCTCGAATGGCTGCATCAGGAAACTAGGTTCATATCCGTACTTTGCCAAGAAAGTTGGCTGATCAAAGATCACCTCCTGATAGGAGCCGTAGCACGTTCTCAGCTCCTGACAGAAAACACCACCCATGTCTTCTGTGCAGTCGCCGTTGAAGCGCTGAGTGCATGCATGAGTGTCGTTGAAGCTGGTCATCTTGTAGTAGCTCAGGGAGCTTTTTCCCCAAACCGTGTTGCAAACGTCTCCGTCCTCAATTGGTCCCACGCACTGGTAGGGCTCGCTCTGGACGTAGTCGCAAGCAGCAGGACACAAAAAACTTGCATCTCCCGTCCTGTCGCACCGGACATCGGAGCCGTCCGTCAGCGTCACTGTCAAATTAGGATCGCCACTGCTTAAAACTGAACGGGGCCAGCTACATTTGTAAATCTTTGCCGCCTGCAGCAAAGTTGGTACGAGAAGCAAGCATCGCCATTGCATAGAACATACCAGTCTAGCGAAGGGCCTAGCCATGCTGTCAACCAAATAGCCCTGGCAGGCACGCAGCAAATTAGGCCATATATGCTTCATGGCTTGCTCACCAAAGCAAGCCGCATGGGACCCAAAGCCAACAAAAACAGCGAGGAAGGTGCTTAAAGCCACCCCAATCATGGATCCCACAGCGACCCTGAATTTACGGCTTCCCTGAATTTACGGCTTCCTGGTAAAAGCAACAGGGGAAAATTAAAGAAACAAGCTCAGGTGGCTTCCAGCCATGCGCTCCCAAAACTCTCTCGGCCCCCGGCTCTACGGAAGTGGGGCGCGTCTGAGATGGGCAGCACGGCGACGCAGCGCAAGGACACCTGCGCCGCGGAAGGTCGAAGCAAAAAGCGAAAGTGGCCTAGGGCTGTGGATGGTTGCGAAATCCATTTGGGCATGGGTCAAAATAAAGCCACCAGGGAACTGCAGTTTTTAGTCATTGTTTCCATTTACCAGGGTTCCATTTTTGGGACCTATTTTTGACCCACACCCATTTCGCACCAGTTGGAATGGAAGGCACGTGAGAAACCCCTGTGACTGTGAGTCGTGGGATAAACATGGTTACACCACTTACATCCATTTCGCACCACCGTTCAAGAACCCTGGTGTCCGGTTCGATGCCCCAACGTAAATACCAACAAACCATGGTTTCAATCATGGTTTCAAAGTGGTGCAGGATTTCGTCCGTAGCAAAGACATGGTAGACCGTAGTTAGAGGTTGCTCCCTTCAGACAAGCCTAAGCGTTCCCTTCTTCAAACAAGCCGAAGTGGCTGTGCAAACAGGCCAAAGCCTGTTAGAAGTAGAGGGCACTTCTAGTTTGGCACCCTCGTGACATACAGATTGATCCCCTCAAGGGTCCAATGGCGCCAACTAGGCCAGCTTAGGCCCTTGTTTATTTGAGAGTACTCGTTTAGGGGTTGTTCAAAACAGAAGCCAGCGGAAAACCATCAATTCTCATGTCTTGGGGAAGATGCCCCGCTGCCAGTTTCTCTTTTGGGATTTCCAGGTATGGCTCAGGGACATCCAAAGGACACCAACCACCTGGAGAAGCCCCCACCCTGTTTCCAACAATCGAGGTGGAAATCGGGGGCTTCCTCAAAAGGACTCAAAATGGCAGTAGTCTCCAAAACCCTTCTCTAAGCTTCCATGATCTCAGTTGCCCAAAGGACCCAGAAGTAAAAGGTGATCACCTTTTCGGGTGTTCAAGACCAATATTGAACCAGGGAAACCAAAGGGTCAAAAGGTCGCTTCGATTCGGGCAACTGAGTGATTGGAGGGTAAGACTTTAGCAACCGGTCAGCGGAACTTCCCGAGGCACATCCAGCGGCAAATCCTCGAAGCCCCGTTTCGCCACCATGACCGGCGAGCGCTGGACCCGGACCCGGACGGTCCAATCGATGTGTAACACGTACGTTGGGAGTTGCGGTGTTGTGCATAGGCTTCATCTTGTAATCAGAAAGTAAACCTGGCGGTCTTGAAAAGGTGATTGCCTTTGCGTGCGGCTGCCGTGAATGAATAGAGCCTGTCTGGTTCTAACTGGGCTGCCTGGATCAGACAATGTGTGACGAAATCACGGTTTATTCATCAACCATTCATGCATCCATTCAGTCGTTCACCTTCACTCTGCGCACATCTACAGAATGCTATCCAGATTCGGGTGTGCATGTTAGGCTCACAGGGCACAACTTCAATGCAACTCATTTCCAAAGGATACGGGGTCTCGGCTTGCGGGGCGAGCGAATCGCAGGCTCGGATGAGCCTGAAGCTGCGAGTTTGCGGCGCAGTGGCGGGAGCTAGGCTTGATTACTCGCAAAGCGCTCCCAAACCAAGGCTTCGTTTTGGGTGGCCTGAGTCTTGAACTGGTTTCCTAGATGCAGGTATTTGAGGGCGTATCCAATGACCAGAAGTTGTGGGCTCTAGGCATGTCGGATTATACTGGGTCATCAACTCAGCCTTAGCCTTGCTTCACCATGAAACCTTATGGCCATTAAATTCAGTTGGGTCATATTGTGGATGGAACACATCGACTCCGCACAAGTTGGGATGGATGAAACCCTATGCACGCAGTGGGGCGACCCCCCCTCAACTGGTGCCGATTGGCGTTCGTCATCCACTGGGGCCAGAGCCCCCCCTTTCTATGGCAAACCCTCTGGCTCTGAACACTAGCTGCAAACTAATCCTACAAAAAGCCCCATCGCGGGGCCCAAGCTCAAACTACCCTGGCATAAACTCATTACAACCTGTGTTGACCTATGAGTCACGCCAGTGCAGTGGTTGAAATTTGGTGGCTCATCCCTATGCAAGACAATTGTCCATACTTTGCAGGCCTCTGCAAACGGACCACCAGTCAACGAAAACTGTTTGGTGGCTACAGGGGAAGCCAACAAGCCGACAAAGGGCCAAAGGGCCCCGCCGTTTACGCGCCAATCCCGCTGAGCCCACTGCATTGCGCCTGCCTAGCCAACGCGGCAGTTGCAGGGTGGAGAGGCTGAAAGGGCTGAGGGCTTGGGAAGGCTTGGGATATGAACTCGAAGCACAGAGCAGGGCTTCGCCGCCAAGCCGAACAAAGTCAGAGCAATCGGCAACCCAAAAAGTGTTGAAGAGCAGAGGAATCCGAATTAGGGCTATGAGGTCTTGAACATGGCCAGTTGGGCATCCGGGTAATTGGAAAGTCTTCAGCACAAAAGAGGATTCCCAGGGACGGCGAGGTTGCCGTCAACCCCATCCAAACAAAGCTGGCCGAGCCTCTTCTCAACTAACAGAGGCAACTGCCAGCCCAACAGCGGCGAAGATCAGCAGGCATGCTCCGGCACAACTGTTGGACCCTGAACTCAAAACCATGGCCCTCCTGGGCTCTTCTTCAAAAGGGTGGGGTGCAGCGCAACAAGACAAGGGGTGGTTCACCTTCTCGGGTCCTCCATTTGCTGGAAAAATAAACATATATATCCAGTAGTGATAGGTTCCCTTTAAAACCAACAGGGCAAAATAACAAATATTCTTAAGGAAATGGAAGAGGTCTCTGTCACAGTGCTCTTTGATTTCTTGTGGGCTGCGAAAAGTGACAACCTATCTTCAAACGCTCAGGTCCTGCACATATGTCCTGGCCTGCGGTTTACAGAGCTGGTTCGTCTGCGAAGCATCGTTGCTGCAAGGGGCTAGCTACTCTTTTTTGCAGCCCCCAAACGGGAAGATACCCTTCCGAAAGCCTCCTGAAAGTAGCGACCGTTGGGGACATCTAGTGTGCAGGGGCCCGGGTGAATAAGCCAAAACCAGTGGCGGACCTGAAAACAGCCACCAAACCCGTAGGCAATCAAGCAGTCTGTAAGTGCTGTGCTTCGAACCTACATCATGTTCAGCTCCTGGCTCCCTCGAGGAGCTATAATCAACAAAAGACAAGTGCCTTTCCATCTGTCCTGCTTTGCAGTCTTTGTATGTATGTTTTAGAGAGCCCCTGGTTCGGACATGCTTTTTCTAACAGGGACTGTCAAGTTTGATGGAGTGTATTCGCAAACACCTCTCCCCCCACCCCACCCCGAACAAAACTCACTGACAAACCCCTGCATCGCTGAGAGAGGCGACGCAAACAAACAAAAATTATCCCAACGCCGAAAAGTGAACCCTCACAAAAACCAAACATCAGGGTATCAGAAACACTCATCGCCCATTTGTTTTGGTCCAATCGGACCAACCGGCCCCAACGGCTTTTACAAAAAATAACAACGGAACCCACACCCAATCAAAGCCCGAAGCACCTCTGCGGCTCTGCCAGGGAGACCTGGTGGCAGGGGTTGCAGGGCTCGCGGGGTCTCCAGTTGGTTTGTAGTCAAACCAAATACGATGTTGATGACGGAAAAAACAAGACCCGGATATTCAATGCTTGTCTTTACTTGATTGTTTTCAATAAAGCCCAATGTTGGTTTATCAACCTGGTGTCCAAGCGTCACGCCTAGAGGAACCTCCCTTCAACTTGGGCCGGATAGTGTCGTTTGAAGCCATGTGGAGCAAATATTGGGGGTCTATCGTCCAACTTGGCTGGGGGGTCGAAATCTGGAGACTCCAGCTGTCGCTTCAGCTCACTGCGCATTGATTTTGCGGCTCGATTGAGTGGCAGCCGCCCGCTTCACACCCTTCTCGCGCTGTGAACTGGATGCCTTGGTTGCTGAAGCGAACCCTCTGCAAAAAAGAAGCTTAACTTGTGCCAATGGACAGTCTGAACTGTTTCAACCACATGTTAAAGTCCAAAGATTCGACCAAATAGGCATAAAGGGAAACAACCGCTTCTTGTGGAGACTGCGCTGTGATGTGGTCAGACATTGCGGGCGTGCCAGTGCAATGAGAGCCGCAGCCGAAGTCAAAAAACAAATCCAGCCCTTTGCCAGGCATTCAACTTAGAGCGAGCCTGCAAGCCGGAAAGGGTAAAGGTGCCGGGGCGACTAAAGTGCGTTGCTTCAGGCTGAAGTGCGTTGCAGAATAGTGACGGCTGGAAGGTCCTAAGGCCCTAAGCTTCAATGCGAACAGAGACTGGCAGAGTTGAATCCAATGGACTCGTCTCGAACGAGACGAACTACATGGATCCAAGGAAAAACGCAGCTATGCCCCAAAAAAAAGGTGCCCGTTTCAATGTTTCAAGCCAAAGATGGACATCTTAAGAAATGGCGTTCGGTCTTCCCCGTTGGCCCTTCGGCTTCCCGCTTGGCACGGGCACCGAGCTTCGAAGCCCCAGACCCCGAGCCCCGACGCCCCGAGGCCTCGTCGAGCTCCGATTGCAGCTCCGAGCCTTGGGTCTTCGGGTCTTCCCGAAGGGCTTCACGAAACATCCACGAAGCTGCCGCACTGGTCGCGAGGATTTTTACCCAACCCCCCAAAAAATATATATATATATATATATAAAGATTCATTATGGCTTGCCTTTTTCCGCGCTGCAAGACCAGATTTGTCTGAAAAATTGAAAACCGAAACT